GGCTGGGCTCAGCCTTCCTGCCCCAGTGGTCTATGCGGGGCTGTGACTTCTCTCTCTGTGTCACTGCTTGGTTTGCCCCAAGCACCGGTGGACTTGACATGCATATATATCTATATCTATATATACATATATTGACATATATGTATGTCCCTCTTGTCCACACCTCGGCGTGTCCAGATCCCTGAGGTGTTGGCTGCACTCGCGGGATCTTTGCTCTGCAGCGGTGCATCCCCACGTCTGCCCAGGTGTCCTGCACGTGTCATCTCTGCCGGCCCCATGTCCTGAGCCTGGAGCAGAGGGAAGATCTCAGGGAGGGCTTTCCTGCCCCTCAGTACATGCAGGACTCAGAAGCCACAGCGGGGACAGGGAAGCAGGGTCACCCCTTCCTCGTCTTCCCGTGCGCACGGCGGTGCCGCCGCATCCCCGGCCTGCGGATCGGAGCAGCAATCCCGGGAGCGACGTGCGGGGGGAAATGCCTCCCCACGGACCCTCCATGGGGATCCGAGCGAGGCATTTGTGCGGGGCCGGGCATCATCCCGCGAGCTCCGGCGGCGAGCGAGGCGCCGGGCCCCGCGCTGCAGCGCTCGGAGCAGCGCTGGCGAGCGCCAAAGAGGGTAAATAGCTCTAAAAGCGTTTTGGATGCATGGTGCATTTCCATTTACACAATGTATTTTACATTTCTCCCCACAGGTTTCTCTTGGTGCAGCGTGTGTAGGCGAAGGCCCTGCTGTGAATTTTGAAAATAGTTATTTTTGTCTCTGGAAAATGAGGCCCGTTAGGACTTGTCAGCTCTTGGATGAGCAGTGTGGGCTTTTTTTTTTTTTTTCTTTCCCTCCTCTCTCTCCCTTGCAAAATAACATTCATTTAAAATCTGTCATTGAAAGATGTGACAATTGGCAGAATGTACACTGAATACCTTTCAGGGTGCTTTCAAGCCCCGTGTGTGAGAGAGAGGGATGGGAAGAGAATGCAGCGACACGTTTGTATTTTTTTTTCTTCTACTCTGGATTATTTGGGGGAATAGGGATTTTCTACAGAAACAAAGAAGAGAGAAAAAAAAAAGCCTGCAGCAAGGCATAATACACAGGGCCTGTTACTGTACAGAGGGAAAGGAGCTTGCAAAAGCAGAGCATGAGTGTGTCTGTCTGTCCGTCCGTCTGTCCTGGCTGCTCTTTGCACTGTGGTCGCCATGCTGCCCCTCTGGCCCCTGTCCAGCCCCACGGACCCGTCCCCTAGGACCGAATTTCAGGTGGATTTTGCAGGGGCACCGGGTGCTTCCAGGGCTGCCCCATCCGCCCGGGAGCCGCCCGCATCCTTGGAGAGCCCCCTGTCCATCCCCGCCGCGCTCGGCGAGTCGCTCCGTGTGGATCCGGCGATGGACGCGGCCCCGCGGCGTCGAGACCCCGGTGCACATCCTGCAAGCACTGCCGGGCCAAAACCAGCCACGTCGCATCCCGAATTCCCTCCCTGAATTCCCTCGCTCCGCACACGCTGCGGGATTCCCCATCGGCAAGGGCAGCTCAGCGCCCGCTGCCCCCGGGCAGAGCCCTTTGGTGCCAACCAAGGCTCCGCTGGAGGAGAAGAGACTCCAGTGCCCAAATCCCAACGTGTTCTCCACGCCGCGCCGGGCACAGGGCAAAGCGGGACATGGAGAACAGCGCGAGTGGCCCGCGAAGGGGGTGGCACTGGGAAAAAGCACCTTTCCGGAGGGAGCAGGGCAGCGCGAGGCTGGAGCCGGCCGTGGGGTGGCGACAAGGCTCGGCAAACGCTTTTCATTTCCATATTTATGTAAACGCGTCCAAGTTTGGCCCTCCTTTCTTTTTTCTCTTTCTCTCTCTTTTTTTTTTTTTTCAAAAATGGAAATTTCCATGAAAACATGTTCGATTTTTTTTCTCCTTGCTCTTTTACTAATATCTCAATGAAATTGTTAGCCTTGTCTCATTTCCAGTTTTGAATCGCTGCCTTGCCGTTCCCAGGCTGACGCCGGTGATGGTCAGCCAGGGTAGCCATGGTTCTGGGTCTGTTTTGTTTTGTTTTTAATAAAAATGTTGCGCTCTGAATTCTCACTAAAAGAAAGAGTCATACGAGAGTCTCGGTCCACGAAGAGGAGACAGGAAAATAGGCCGCAAAATCTCCGGGTGTTTGCAGAGCGCAAAGCCCATCCTCGTGGGAAGAGAACGGGGTCTTCGCCGTTCTCCTTTCCAAGCGATGTGCCCAAAATGCCTGTTTTTTTTTGCCATTTGAGCCCCTTTGGGGGCCTGCGGGCTCCGGCTGCCGAGGGGTTAAGGCGGCGGGTGGGCGAGACGCTGCCAAGCGGCTGCGGCGCCTC